TCTCCTTCTTGCACCCTCACTATCATGCCATTGTGTTTTGTTTTTAGTATAAATTTATCACTAGCTGCTATTTTTGTGTGTGTGTGTGTGTGTGTGTTTGTCTCCACAATAGAAAGTAGACTTATCCATCTGAAACACCTCATTCCCAGTGGCTAAGCTGACAGACATGTTTGCTAGTAAGTGAAATAAGTAAGTACAAGTGGAGTGTGTAGTGGAGGATGCTATGGAAGCCTTTACCAGCAAACCTAGCCTTGTATGCAGTGGGCTGGGAAAGCTTTCCTGAGTGTGTTTGCCAGCATAAGGCTGCCTCAACAGCATTCTAGCTGGAGCCAGGACAATAGTTTTTCTCTCATGTAGCAGAGAATGTCCCAGGCTGCAATGATCATTCCTGGTGGAGAGGAGGCTCCGCTCCACACGACCATTCAGGGACCCAGGTTCTCTCCAGCTTGTTGCTCTGCCGTCCTTGGGTGTCGGTTCATGGGAGAAGCTGGGTCTTCATGAGTTCCTGCTGGTGGAGAGGGAAAGGAACATGAAAGCCTCCCCCACACATCACTTCCTATGAGAGAGAGGGACTGGGACCCTAGTCTAGCCTGGATGGAGGAGGAAGGAGGCTCCCATCCCAGCCAACAGCCTGTGCCGCACTGACAGAGTGAACCGTGCGGGGAGAGGGAAGGGTAAGTAGGAGTTAGCAAAAAGGAGGCTCCGGGGAAAAGGAAGGTCGGAGAGGGAGCAGGATGTGTGAAGGAACTAGGGCAGCGGAAGGCAAGGCCTGCTCTAGGAACAGAGAAATGTGCTTCTGGAAGAAAAGGCGAAGGAACGAGGCTACAGAATAATCAGGGTCCAGATCTCACAAGGCCGGGACATCCCAGCCAGAGGCTCTGGCTTTTACTTGAAGGTTTTAATGGGGGCCAGATACGCATTTTTGTCAGGTGAAGAGTGAATTGGGAGAAGGGCCTGAAGAGGGGCTTGGAGCGTTCAGACTGGGGAGACAGGTTAGATTATCGAATTGTGCAGGAAGGGTAGAGAAAAAGGGTGGAGTAGAGAGTTGGTGTTCTGATGAAAAGAGTTTTCTTGCCAAACTTGTCTGGCTTTATTTTTACACAACATGTGTTCTTGTGAACCTACTTTAATGATGTGAGCACTCTTTATATATCGTGTGCTGAGAATATGTACATCTGTGTACATGTCAGCTGAGGACAAGTGCTAGAGGAAGAAACAATAAACAGGACTGATTTTAGGTTATTTAGGCCCCAAGTGTTAAATTATACCAAAGAGGCAAAGATGATACTAAGCAAAAGCAGTAGAAATTTGTTATTGGTGCATCCGGGAAGAGATGGAAGGTACTGAAGACTGAAGAGAAAATAATTATCTAGATTGTCATATCCAGTTGTTCTATCCCTAGTTAGGATATTTGAATTTTTAAAAAATAGATCTTTATTGATTTCAGAGAGGAAGGGGAAGGGAAGGAGAGAGAAACATCAATGATGAGAATCATTGATTGGCTGCCTCGTGCATGCTTCCTACTGGGCACTGAGCCCACAACCCTGCATGTGCCCTTGACTGGAATTGGACCTGGGGCCCTTCAGTCTGCAGGCTGGTCGTCTATCCACTGAGCCAAACCGGCTAGGGCTTAATTCTTTATAGTAACACTAAAGGCCTGATGCACGCAATTTGTGCGAGGGGCTTGGCCCTCGCAGCTCTGGCTTCCTTGGACGGTCGTTCTGTTGTTCAGTCTAATTAGCATATTAGCTCTTTATTATATAGGATTATCCATGTGAAGTGACCTTAGTACGGGGCAACCAGCAGATGTCGGGTAGATGTGACCATTGCAGGGAGTGGGGTAATTTTCCTGTTTCTGAAAGCCTTGGATTCTAGCAAGACTCATTTCTCTTTTTAGTAGTAAGTACAAGTACAAGCACCAGTAGCTTTTTGCCTTTTCGTTCTAGTTGGGGATCGATGCAGTGGGCAAGTTTGCCATGGTTAGATGTTTAAGTCCTTGGAGAATCAGGTTCGAAATGAAAAGACTAGTTGAAGCTGGAGTCGAAGTGCCACATTTTCAGGAAGTCAGAGGAATAACCGCTAGCTTATTGGGAGCTGTTCTCATGTGAATTGAAAATATTTGTACTGCAGTTACGTTTTGGAGGGCTTTGGACTGTGCAGGGGGTCGGCGCCCTTAGCCCCTGCATTGTCCCCGGGCCAGTCATTTCCTTCAGAGTCGGCTGGTCCACGATAGGTTTCCTACAACGTGCAGTCTGCTCCATGTTTTTGTTTGGGAGGTCTCAGCCGAGGTACAAAACTGCCTGCCCATTTGCAAAGGAAATTCCATGGAACATGGTACCTTCATCCTGTGTCTACAATGGTTGTTTTTGCTGAACTTTAGTGTCTCGTAAGGAAGAGTGTTGACTTTGCGGGCATCTTCGGTTCTGTCTGTCTTCTCTCCTGGTGCTCGTTAAGGTCAGCGTGAGGCTCAGCCACACTGGAAGGATGGTGCCTCGGTCCTGACGTTTCTGGTTGTTGTGTTCCAGTGGGGAACTTACATTTGTCTCAGTGAGGAAGAAGTATGTTCATTTGTGTACTTGAACTTCCCGAAACACTTTCTAGAACTTGTGCCCTTTGCAGTGCTGAATATGAAGACGGAAGCCATCTGTATCTGCTATTTTATTTGTTGGGTGCAGAGCGGTCAGCAACATTACTTTGGTGTATGCACTATTTTTTTAAAAGTGTCTAGTTATGAACACGCTCTTACGAATTTGCTATTACGTTTTATGGATTCTTTTCAGTATTATTTTAAGGCCTCATATTCCTAGACATAGCTACAAACTGCAAACTGTGTATTCTAATTCTTTTACTAAATTCTTTTAGAAGCTCAACAGATATACAATGAAAAGCAAATTTCTCAAATTTTCTCCATTTTTAAAAATAATATATTTCTTTATTGATTTCAGCGAGGAAGAGAGAGAAACATCAATGATGGGAGAGCATCATTGATAGTCTGCCTCCTGCACGCCCTCTCCTGGGGATTGAGCCCCCAACCCGGTAAATCCCTTGGCTGGAATCAAACAGGGACCCTTCAGTTCAAAGGCCGACACTCTAGTCACTGAGCCAAACTGGCTATGGCAATTTTCTCCATTTCTTGCTCAATTTTATAATGACAAATGTTTTTGCGTATATTTTAATAAGTACATTTTGTAAAGGCACTAGTACAGATTTTTTTCTGTTATTATAATTTGGTATTATGTCAGCGATATAGGTGGAACAAGTTGATTTGTAAATTTATAGCCTTGAAGTTAAATTGCATTGACTCTAGCCTTTAATTTACACTTTTTTTCCCCCTTCAAGATTCATATAAATTATGGAAACTCTTGTTTGAAGTAGATCCAGACCACATTTTTAGAAACTGAAGGGTTCACTCGTTCCAGCTGTCTTGTCCAGTGCAGATGGCTTTCAGTTGCATTCAGGCATGAAGAAATGTACACACTGCTTTTTTATGTTCTGTAACATCCTTTGTCACACTTCCTTCCTTTCTAGCTGTGCGTGTTTATTCTCTTACGGCTAGTAAAATTATACCGTGTGTACTGGAGTGGAGACTTTGCCCATTTTTCTAGGACTGCACAACTAAAACGGAGGGACATGAACAAATAAAACAAGCATCTACAGTCCTGCAGTTTATTTTAAAAAATACATATTTTATTGATTTTTTACAGAGAGGAAGGGAGAAAGAGAGAGAGCTAGAAACATTGATGAGAAAGAAACATCGACCAGCTGCCTCCTGCACATTCCCCACTGGGGATGTGCCCGCAACCAAGGTACATGCCCTTAACCAGAATCGAACCTGGGATCTTTCAGTCGCTCTATCCACTGAGCCACACCGGTGTCAGCTACAGTCCTGCAGTTTAATATGAGTGGCAGGGAGGGGGCACATCACCCAGCAAATACTGAGTGTCCGTCAATTGCCAGAGTCTTGGTAGGCTCTGGCAATTTAAGCAGCGCACAAGACAGTTATGGTACCTGCCCCCATGGAACTTACAGTGTAGCTGGGAATGTAGTAAATAATTTGAAGGTATAAGGGAGGAACAGGTGTGATGGCAGTTTATGGTATGGGGTGGGGAGTGGTGATGGTGATTGTCACAGGAGTGTGTGTGTGAGAGAGAACAGTTTTCCCAGCAGAGACTCTGTGCTGAGTTAGAGAGCCTTCTGGTGTGTCTGGAGGGGAGGAATCAGGTGGGAAAGTGGTGAAGTCACAGCAGCGGAGTTTGGGAGAGCGTTAGGGCAGGTTGAGGATTTCGGACTTAATCCCCACAGCAGTGGAAACCTGGGAGGCAGGAGGAAAGAGAAGACTGGGCATCATCCTGATGCCTTTCTTTCTCAGAAACGAAAGAGCGGTCTTTCAATTTGCATAGGACTCCTCCCCCCTCCCCTTTTAAGTTTCAAGATTAGTTTGGAAGCTACTGGAAGTTCCAGTGAACTGGAACAGTTCCAACAGGGGTGGAGAAGAACGGCCGATTTGAGACACTGGGAGGAGGAATGGAAGATTGGGTTATAGATCAGATGTGGGGGTGAGGGAGAGGGTGAGTCAGGGTAACAACAGCGAGTGAGTCCCAGGCGCTGTTCCATGCATTCAGCCTGTAGATTCTCACAGGAGCCCCGCCAGGTGCATATCGCTGCCAGTGCTTATGGACGGAGAAACACTCACTGTCGCCCTGATCTTCACCTGCAGGTGCTGGGTGTGTGGGGGAGTCTCCTGACCGAGGTAGAGAGCTGGGGTGGGTCAGGCTCCTAAGGTGAACCTCGGACATGTTGGACGTGAGGTGTCTGTAATCAGACTTTGGGGGCCTCGGGTGGGTAGCTCAGTTGGTTAGTAAGTAAACAAAAGAGGTCTGTCCTTCTGTCATAGGAAGCGTATTTGGGAAAATGTATCAAATAAAACGCAGCCAGCTGTGTTTCCTGGTGGCGTCTCTAACCCAGAAGCCGCGACCTGACGCTTCCTGTCCCCGGCAGGTATGGCCTCACAGCTGCAGTTCTCCCCGCCATCAGTGTCGTCCAGTGCCTTCTGCAGCGCCAAGAAGCTGAAGATAGAGCCCTCCGGCTGGGATGTGTCTGGCCAGAGCAGCAGCGACAGATACTACCCCCCCAGCAAGCCCCTCCCGGCCGCCCCGGGGCCGGCCAGCTCCGCCCAGCAGGTAGCCAGCTTCAGCATCCCCGCCTATGACCAGGCCCGCCGCCTCCCAGCGCCCGCCGCCGAGCACATCGTGGTCACGGCCGCCGACAGCTCGGCCAGCGCGGCCCCGTCCAGCCTGCAGAGCGGCCAGAGCCTGCCGCGCCGGAGCACCGTGTCCCTGCTGGAGCCCTACCCGAAATGCGGCCTGAAGCGGAAGAGTGAGGAGGTGGACAGCAACGGCAGCGTGCAGATCATCGAGGAACACCCCCCGCTCATGCTGCAGAGCAGGACCGTGGTGGGCGCCGCTGCCACGACCGCCGCCGTCACCACCAAGAGCAGCAGCTCCAACGGGGAGGGCGACTACCAGCTGGTCCAGCACGAGATCCTGTGCTCCATGACCAACAGCTACGAGGTGCTGGAGTTCCTGGGCCGGGGCACGTTCGGGCAGGTGGCCAAGTGCTGGAAGCGGAGCACCAAGGAGATCGTGGCCATCAAGATCCTGAAGAACCACCCGTCCTACGCCAGGCAGGGCCAGATCGAGGTGAGCATCCTCTCCCGCCTGAGCAGCGAGAACGCCGACGAGTACAACTTTGTCCGCTCCTACGAGTGCTTTCAGCACAAGAACCACACCTGCCTGGTGTTCGAGATGCTGGAGCAGAACCTGTACGATTTCCTGAAGCAGAACAAGTTCAGCCCGCTGCCGCTCAAGTACATCCGGCCCATCCTGCAGCAGGTGGCCACGGCCCTCATGAAGCTCAAGAGCCTCGGTCTGATCCACGCCGACCTGAAGCCAGAGAACATAATGCTGGTCGACCCGGTGCGCCAGCCCTACCGAGTGAAGGTCATTGACTTTGGCTCCGCTAGTCACGTGTCCAAGGCCGTGTGCTCCACCTACCTACAGTCACGCTACTACAGGCAAGTGGCCAACGCTCAACACCTTGTCCTAGACTCGAGCTCTGTCTTTCTAGTTAATATATATCTTATAAGGCTGCATAGAACGATGCATGTATTTACAGTTTCCAAGATTGAAACAGGATAATGTCTTAGTTCATTTTTCAGTGTGTGGTATTCCCATGAGCAACATTACTTTATATCTGAAATCTTTTTAACACTAGAAAAATTAATTGTGTGATTCTGAAGCTTGTTCCTAGTTGAGTTATATAATTGACCCTTGAACAACATGGCAGTTAGGGGGAACCTGCATATAACTTTTGACCTCCCCCCCCCCCAAAACTTAAATTGTTCTGTAGGGGGTTACTTCCAGGACCTTGCAGATAACAAAATTCACAGGTGCCCCTGCCCTGAATAATATCCCACTGTACGTACAGACCATATCTTGTTTATCCACTCATTTGGCAGTGGATACTTGTTTATTTTTACATTTTTACATTTTTGGCTACATTTTGGCTATAATAATAAAAGGGTAATATGCTAATTAGACTGGATGTCATTCCAGACATCCTTCCTGATAAAGCCTGGGTCCTGGGTGCCTGCTGGCAGCTGGAGGGAAGCCAGAGCCAGCCGCAGGGGGGAAAGGAAGGCCTTCTCTTGCACGAATTTTCGTGCATCAGGCCTCTAGTTCTGAATAATGTGTGGTGACATTGGTATTCAGTTGCTTCAGTGTCTGTTTGCAGGCCTTTGGGGTTTAGTGCTAGAATAGAAGGGCCGGGTCACACGCTAGTGCTGTGCTGAACTCTTGGAGAAACCACCAAGCTGTGTTCCAGCTGCTGCACGATTTTGCCTTCCCGCCAGAAGGGCGTGCGGAGTCTCATTTCTCCACATCCTCACCAACAGTTGTTACTTTCTGCGGTTTTTGTTTGTTTGTTTTTGATAACTGTCATCCTTGTATGCATGAAAGGATACCTCATTGTGGTTTTCATTTGCATTTCCCCAATGATTAGTGATGTTGAACATCTTTTCATGTACTTATTTATTATTTAAGGCCAGCTGTATGTCTTCTTTGGAGAAATGCCTGTTCAAGTCCTTTGTTCATTTTTTATTTGGGTTGTTTTTTGTTGAGTTGTAAGAGTTCTTTATATATTCTGGGTATTAATCCCTTATCAGATATATGATTTGCAGGGTTTTTTCTCTCCCATCCATGGGGTTGATTTTTCACTGTCTTTTTTTTTTTTTTTTTTTTTTTTTTGCACAAAATTTTTAAACTGTGATGAAGTCCAATTTGTTTTTTCTTTTGTTGCTTTTACTTTTGGTATCATTTCCAAGAAATCATTGCCAAACCAATGTTATGAAGCTTTTCTTCTGTGTTTTAGTATAAGAGTTTTATAGTTGTAGCTCTTATATTTAGGTCTTTGATCCATTTTGAGTTAATTTTTGTATGTGGTGTAAAGTAAGGATCTAGTTTCATTCCTTTGCATGTGGATATTCAATTTTCCCAGCACCGTTTGCTGAAGAAACTATCTCCATTGAATGGTCTTGACACTCCTTCAACTGTGTATATGAGGGTTTATTTCTGGACTCTGTTCCTCTCCATTGGTCTACATGTCTGTCTTTATGCCAGTACCACACTGTTTTGATTACTTGTAGCTTTGTAGTAGGTTTTGAAATCAGGAAGTAGGAGACCTCCAGCTTTATTCTCTTTCAAGATTGTTTGGTTATCTCAGGGAATCTCAAGATCCTTAGGAATATTTGCATGGACTTTCTCTTTCTGCAAAAAAACCTCATTGACTTTGGATAGGTATTGCACTGAATCTGTAAATCACTTTGGTTAGTATTGCCATTTTAACAATAGTGTCTTCCAGTCCACACTCATCTATTTTTTTCTTTTATAGTTCTATAAAACAATGATATTTCTTACTTAAATGAGATAAAGAAATTCCTAGAGCCTTTGATTTGTAGTTTCATGTTGCTCTAGGCAACTTGACTAATTTTGAGACTCTCACCTCCATTTATTTTTTCATGACTTGGGAGAGTTAGGTTCCAATTATTTTTGCTTTTAATAGTCTCCTTTGAGCAATCCGACCACCGCCCACACACACACTCACACACACACACACACACACACACGTGTACAGCACATTCACAGGTGCACTGAAGAATTCAGTTCTGTGTCTTTATTTTGAGCTCTGGGGAAGTAAGGAGAGGACAGCTGAGGGGTGAGGGCTTTCTTGATCTTTTATCTTGTCAGCGCCTGCAGGTGTTTTACTGTTTGTCTGCCTGTCAAAGACAAGGGCAAGGTCTGAAGCCCTTTTAAGATTGAAAAAGAGCAGTTGAGATAAGAATTATTTATGAAATAATTTTTTTTTTTTTTTTTTGCTTTTAAATATATTATTATTGATTTCAGAAAGGAAGGGAAAAGGAGAGGGAGTCTTTGATGGGCTGCCTCCTGCATGCCCACTATTGGGGATTGAGCCCTAACTGGGCATGTGTCCTTGACTGGAATTGAACCTGGGACTCTTCAGTGCTCTAGCCTCTGAACCAACCAGTTAGGATAATGAAATAATTTTGGGTGGAATTTTCTCATAAAAGATAAAGGAGATTTGAGGGATTAAACAGTTGCTGTCTTTGGTGGTTGAGTTTATGCACTAAGGTTTCCGTGCTCACGTGCTCAGTGCTTTCACATTCTGAACAAAGCCGAGGTCACAGTTTGTTCTGTCTGGAAGGACAAAGTCTGCAGAAGGAAAGCGTATTTTCACTTTGTCCTAGGACAAACAATCCGGTTTTATCCGACAGTGAAACTGCAGCTTAATCTAAGCCGCAGATGCAGGAAGTTTGCCTTTATGTAACAGCTCCGATCTAGCAAGGCTGATGCCTCTGCCATGGACAGGAAGCGACAAGTGTGTTCGTGAAAATGAGCAGAGAGCGATGGCTGGGAAGTGACTCTGACCTCAGCTTGCTCTCGGTTCAGGTGGCATAAAGCTTTACGACCTTGGGGAATTCTTCAGTGTAAAGAAGGTTGAGATTGGGAAATCAAAAGGCAGGCATGCTCTTTCTGCCACCTGGCTTTGGTAATTAGAGCCCGCTTCGCATTTGTTCTTTAAGGATGGGATGTATCTTCAAAGAGGAGACCACCATGTCTGAAGTGCAATTAACGCCATTTTTGTACTGAAGTGCATGCTGCCGGTTTTGTTCCCCTCTTTCCTGTGCTTTAATAGGTAATCTTTCTTACCGCCCAGCTGGTGGAACATCAGAGCTGGAAAGGCATCTAGGAGAGTAATTATCTAACTCAGCCTCCTTATTTCACAGATGAAGCAGAACCAGAATTTCAGAGTCTAGAGTTTATAGTAAGGGATTGAGAAATACTGGAGGCCAAGGGGCAAGATGATACAGTCCCGAAAATATTGGCAAGAATTATCATCTGAATTCCAAGTTGAAAACATTCCGTCTTTAGAGATGTGCATGCTCTCATGATTCCTTGCTGTCCAGTGTCTAGGTGAGGCTAACATTTCTAGGAGTAACGATGTGAGAAGTGCTTCAGAGGACTGAACAGCCTTCTCTTTATTTTATTTTGACTGCCTTCATTTTTTTTTTTTCTTTCGATACCTTTTTGTATGGTAGATGGTAGAGCTTACCGTTTTGAGTGAGCTTTGCTGGAAATCCTTAGCTGCTTTTATGACTCCAGAGGCAGGGTGAGACCAAACAAAAACCAATTCCAGCCAGTTCCAAAGGCTTTGGGTTTTTATTTATTTATTTATTTTTTTTTTATTTTTTTTTATTTTTTTTTATTTTTTTTTAAAATATATTTTATTGATTTTATACAGAGAGGAAGGGAGAGAGATACAGAGTTAGAAACATCGATGAGAGAGAGTCATCGATCAGCTGCCTCTTGCACACCCCCTACTGGGGATATGCCTGCAACCAAGGTACATGCCCTTGACCGGAATCGAACCCGGGACCCTTCAGTTCCCAAGCCGATGCTCTATCCATTGAGCCAAACCGGTCCCGGCGGCTTTGGGTTTTTAGCATGTTTGCTTAATAGGGTTTGAGGGCTGGAATTAGTGTTGTTCTTAGTTTCTCTGAAAGCTTAAGTTTTATCACAGGTCACTGCTACCTTTTTAGGGAAGTGAGTTATTGGGCGCTGGCCTCTCCCTGGGAACTAGCCTTTGGGTTTTAAAATGCCCCCCTCCCCCCTCCATCGCAGTGGGAATGGCAGGATCCGGCCATGCTCTTCAGCCGATGCTCTGAGTCCAGTTTTCACTTTGGCACACAGCCATTTGCCTTCTCCCTGCCAGCTATTTTTGGCACTGTCATGAACTTGGAAATTAATAATTCTACTCACTAAAAGTAAAAATTTGTTCCCTTTCAGTTTTAGAAAAGCTTTTATGTCTCTGAGTCCTCGTACCCCAAACTTGTGCTGTCTTCAAACATGCCGGAGGGGTGGGGTCTAATTGAACTCTGAAATTCCATCAGGGATGTGGCTCTCGCCACCTGCAGCAGGAATGGCGCTTTTGATGGTTGTTTCTCTGGCCAACAAACCACAGCTCATTCATATCAAATAGCACAAAAACGCTCCATTAAAAGTTCCACCCACTGCTGTCACATAGTATAAGTCTCAACAGGCCTGGATCTTTTGCTGTTTTTCTGCAAGATCAGGAAAGCTTCTAGACTCTATAGAGCCCTCTCATTCACCCTGTTTTCTTAGAAAATAACTTGGGGAAGACATTCTTATTTAGGGAAATATCTCGACACCTTCCCCCACTCAATCTCTGCCCCTCGCCCCCCTCCGCACACGCGAGGAAGCTCACTTACTTGAAGGTACAGTGTGGGATGTGGGCACTCCACAAGGAGACGCAAGATCTGCCTTTCCATCTTCCTCCCCTTAATGGGGGCTCTGGACCTGGTGTCCTTACAGATTCAAATGCCATGACTTGTAAGAAGAAAGGAAGTTATAGGGAGAAGGCGCTGAAGTGTTTAAGAGCTCAGACCGTGGCTCAGGCCTGCCTGGACTCCATCACCTAGTCACTGTGTGGCCTTGGGCCACTCACTTAACGCCTCCATGCCCAGTTTCTCCCATCTACAGTGCAATGATACTTTATGACAGAGAATCTAAGATACCTTGGTTATAAGGTGAAACATAATTTATGTACCAACAAGAAATCAAAAGCACTGCCATTAAACTAAAACACACCGTGGTGTACAAGAATTTTCTTAGTTTCAGAGATGTTAAAATGTAAAAGAAATTGCATCTCAGAATTGATGGCTTAAAAGCAATAATATTTTCATAGGATTGTTGTGAGGATTATAATGACCACATTTATAAAGAACTTGCATGGAGTTGAGGCTCTGAACCCAGGTAGGCTGGCTCTAGTCTGTGCTGTCAGCCATGGTATCTCTGTAGAACGCATTTCTGTCCAAAGAGGGATTTATTGACCAAGCCATTTAATTGATTTTTCCATAATTAAAAGGTGCTAAGTAAAAAAAAAATAAAATTCTCCAATTCATTATTTATGATTTCAAAATTAGAAACCTCTAAAAACTAAAAATCCTTTCCTAAATTTGGTATAAACTCATTGATTGGAAAAATATGACTTGAACCAGTGTAAGGCAATTGGAAGTCTTTATTTAGCTGACTTAGTATGACTTAGTTTTGTTGCAGAAATATCAGTGTGTTAGATTCTGAGCACTTCCCTAAACTCCTCTGAGGTTATTCTGTGATATATAGTATATTCATCATTATCCCTTTCTGAAATTAAAGAAATTCTGAATGCCAAAACACGTGTGACCCCAAGAATTTCAAATGACAGAGATCGTTTTCAGTTTCATTAAATCAGTGTATCTTTAGTTGATAACTAAAACAGAATTTAGTCAATACTGTTCATTTTCCCAAATAACGTGTATCTTTTATCAACAATTTTTGTTTTTGCTAGAGCCCCTGAAATTATTCTCGGATTGCCGTTTTGTGAAGCCATCGACATGTGGTCGCTGGGCTGTGTGATAGCTGAGCTGTTCCTGGGGTGGCCTCTCTATCCTGGTGCTTCGGAATATGATCAGGTAAGAGCGTGCATTCGGTTTTTTAACGAACAGCATTTTCTCCACCTGCTTCTTATTCTGAAGTTATGTTTGCAATTCTTCAATTAAATGGGAATCGCATTTTATGTTAGATTGGTACTTTCCCAGATCTGTAATGATTTATTAGGGCACTCACTTTGGTTAACAAAGGCATCTTGTGAGTGAAGACATGAAAGCAAAGTAAGGATGAGGAATTGAGATTTTAAGAGTGAACTTTGGCTCCTTCACACCTGTTACTTCTTTCATACATGACATGCTCTGAAGGGGGCGCTCTCGGCATGCTGAAACACTGTGGGCCCCAGAGGCCCGGATGTAGCGGGGTCTCTGTAGGCCTGGCTTTAGGAGGGCAGTCAGAGGACTGGAAAAGTGTTGCGATAAATGGCCGTGTCTCAAACAGGCAAGCTTCAGAAGATAAGCTACATTTCCTAAAGAGCTGGTCCTGAGGGGAACAGGTTTGCCATGGAAATAAATTGCAGATTCTGATTTTTTGTTCTTTAAAAGAAGTGGTCTAACCGTTTATGCTTTAATCTCCTTAAGGGCAGTGACTGTTTCATTCCACCAGTGTGTCATCTGCTGCTGGCATGTGTCTGGCACATAGTAGGTACATAGGTATAGAAGAGGGGGGTTGTTTTAGTTTTCTTTTCTTTTTTTCTTTTTTTTTTGAGAAATAAATGGTTATCTGTTATTGAAAGGCAAAAAGAGCAAATAGTCCTTTTCCTTTTCAGCCTAGAATTTTGACTCCTCAATCTATTGAGAATACTAGTATGTAACATTTACCAACTTCTAAAAATGTGACTCTTTGGACATACCTTTGAGTGAAACATAAAAAAACGAGTTAACTCCTGTCATAAGTAACCTGTTACGTTGTGCTTTGGAATTTTTTTCACCTACCTTGAGAGGAACAAGTCAGCTTCCTTATTTTCTTTTATTTTAATTAATTTAAATTCTATATTATTAAAGCAGCTTCCTTATTTTACAACAACAAAGAAGTATGTGGGAGATGAAATGACGCAAAAACCACAGTTGGTTGAACTGAGCTTTTGATTCTCCTTTTTGGGTTTTAGACCTTTTTGAGAATCTGATGAAGCTATGGATCTTCTCAGAAAAATATGCTCACCGTGCTTTGTGAACACAGTTAGGAGATTCATGGGCCTCTGCTTAAGAAACTTTGCTCTGAGCAATGACGGCCTCCGAAGTGCCATTCCTAGCCCAGCTGTTTTCTGGCATCCCTTCAGCCTTAGGGAACAGATTGCCATTGTAACATTTCCTAGCAAGTGGAACCAAATAAAATTAAATTTAGAAGCTAAGGCACAGCTGGGGCTTTCCTTGAAAAAAAAATAAAAAAATGACCTGGTAGCTTGGAGAATTTTTGTTTGTTGCATAAATGTGCAACTGTGGGTGGTAGGAGGAAAGCACAGTTGGTTGCACCAAGCTGAGTAAGTAGGATGCTGCTGTTACTGAGCAGGACAGGGGCTGTGGGGACAGTTTATCTTGTGTCTGGTTGTACGGAAGATTCCTCTGGCAGCATCCTGATTCTTACAGCTGTCTTTCTTTCTTTTTTTTTTAAGCAACTTTATTGAGATATAACCCACATATCACATAATTCAGCCATTTAAAGGGCGCAGTTCAAGGGTTTTAGTATGTTCACAGGGTTGTGAACCGTCACAACATGAACTGCCAATCCTCATTCTCCCCCAAGCCCTGCCCTAGGCAAATTTAAAAATATATTTCATTGATTTTTTTACAGAGAGGAAGAGAGAGGGATAGAGAGTTAGAAACATTGATGAGAGAGGAACATCGATCAGCTGCCTCTTGCACATTGGGTATATAGGGACGAGTGTATTTTCTGACCATTTATGCCCTCATGCCTCTTGAATATACGTCTTTTTCTCCACTGCCACTCCCTAGTCCAGGCTGTCTTACTCGTGGCCCTGGGCTGCCATGTCCTCCTCTCCCGCTACTTATTCCCGCCTCCCTTCAGTCTGTTTTCCAGAGAGATTTCTTCCAAACACAAATTTGATCATCCCACTGCCCGGCTCTCCAGTGGCCTCCCTCACCTTTAGAACAAAGGGCTGAATCCTTCCTACGACCTTGGAGCCCCTGCCTGGTTGACCTGGCCCTTCTGGTCTTCCTCTCGATGGGTCTTACACTGTTTCTTGTTGGGTTTCATACTTCAGCCCTCTTGGCATCATCTCAGCTCCACTTCCTTCCACACAGCCCTTGCACACACTGTTCTCAGTCTGCAGCTTCCCACCAGCCATCCTTCCATCCGGGCAGTGTCTCGTCATTCATCAGCTCGAGGGTCACTTCCTCAAGCAGCTTTTCCTTGCCAGTCCCCGGCTAGCTCGGGTTCCTTTTTAAGTATTTTTAGGGAAGCCTACTTATTCCGGTTTGAATTATGCATCCACCGTCCGTCTTCCTCACTAGTCTGCAAGGTCTATGAGAGCAGGAACCATTTCTGTCTTTAAAGTCACCACTGCCAGGCGCAATAAATACTTGTTGAAAGAATGAAGGAATATATGCTATATATAGTTACGTTCCAAGTATAAATTTATGGACATAGAGGAGCATATATACAGTATTTCATCACATCTACAACATCACTGATTAAGATGCTCAGATCTGCAACACCACTGATTAAAAGATGCACCATTTTTCTGTACCTCTAAGAAAAAATGCTGCCAATTGAACTATGACATTATCAGCTGTAAGACATATCCTGTTCAAAGATGTGAATATCAAAAACTGTGTCTCTTAGAACCAGTGAAATGTAGTAATTTAAAAGAAAAAGCGATTATATTTAATTTGTAATCTGCTTTTTCTATTTAATGTATTGCAAACTATACATGTTAACAAATATTCGTCTACCCTATCATTTTAAATGTCTGCATAGTATTTCATTGTACAGATTTTATTCTGTATTTAAAAAAATATTTTACCTCTTACATGCAAAAGAAGTTTCCATTTAAACTTTTTGTTCACATTTGAAAAGTCTCCTGTTTTACTCATGCTGTGTGTTGGTTTTCACAGTTTCTGGGTAATTTCCTGCTGTTCTCTAAAATTCTCAGGATAGATAAGCATACCAGATTTTGCCTGCAGGTCATAGTTGGCTTACCTGTGCTTTATACTCTTAAAAATAGGTGAGGACCCTAAAGAGCTTTATTTATATAGCATATACTGACTTAGTATTTAAAACTGAAGATGGGGGGGGGGGGGAAGGGAGAGGGATAGATAGGAAGTAAGATTTATTTCCTTGCTTACAAGTTTTTCTCTAATTTTATCTTAAGTATAGCCATTCATATAAGGAGTATTGTTATGAAAATAATCTTTTTACTTCACACTTCCTCCCCCCCTCCCAAAAGGGTCTTGGGGTTAGACCCCATAGGAGTCCCCAGATCACATTTGGGAATTGCTGGCCTAGTTTATAGTAGGTGTTCAATAAATGTTGAGTGTGTGAACACAGTACTTACAGAGAAGCTAAATTAAGCTTGAGTTTATGGTACAAGAAACAAGCTCTGTGACATTTTAGAGTCAGGCAGTTGACCAGGAGCTAGAGTAGCCAAGGAAGAAAGAGGTTTATAGAAATTTTTCCTAATCATTTTAATTTGATAATGTATCAAAAACCAAAACCAAAAGATCCTTCGTAATCCATGAAGTATAATTTCTTGAAAACCATTCTGTTCTGTCCTAGAAAATATTTCCTAAAGTTTTCTGAACTTGGTATCAGAAATTGACAAAAAGAGAGAGAGAGAGAGATTACACACAAATTTTTAAAACTGATACAGTAACAAGGAAGTTTCTGAATACATGTTTGGGAATTACTTCTGAGTGCGTTAGCTTATATTTTTGTCTTTATAGATAAATTTCATTTGTATTTGCCAACGAGTTAATTTCTTTTTGATAGCTTCCTTTTTTTTTTTTTTTTTTTTGCCTAGAGCTAATAATGTTTTAGTGTAAAAGTTCTTTAAAATCTTTCTTTTCATTCCAAGTCAATGTTTTGATGTTTCAGATTCGTTACATTTCACAAACACAAGGTCTGCCAGCTGAATATCTTCTCAGTGCCGGGACCAAGACCACCAGGTTTTTCAACAGAGATCCTAACTTGGGGTACCCACTGTGGAGGCTTAAGGTCAGTCTCCCCTGCTAGACTACCCAGACCTGTCTTCTCACTTTCAAGTTCAAAGTTTGTGAATGTTTTACTTTTTTTTTTTTAAGATCATATCACTTTTCCTGGTTGGTTATCAAAGTTTATTCTTGAGGTGGAGGAGGAAAAAGGGGTAGGGGTAAATATACGTTTGCAGGAGGGAACACTGAAAAATTATTTTGTTGTACCCTTTCCCTTAATTAAAAAAACAAAGCTTTAAATGCAAGTTCAATTGGCAAGGTTATTTTGAATATTTGAACCCACTGTTGAGAAAGGGAGAGTATGTATGTACTCACCATTGAGTCTTATGAAACTAGAGTAATACATAATGACTGTTTTTTAGAGGATTCTCAATAAATATGACAAAGCAACATAATTTCCTAACTGCCCACAGTAAGTCCTTCTATATTTTCTTTAAACAAATATCTGCTTTTTACACCAGAGCCCGTTCTGTTAACTTGAGAGATCCCTGAATAATTTGATTAACCCTGTGACTCTCTGCCTGGGTCTTTGAATAGTTAGCATTTAAAATAGCATCTCATTTGAAGGAGCTGAAAGAGAAAATGGAAACGCAGGACCGGGCTTCCTCGCTGCCTGCACATTTACTTTTGGACAAGGTGGCTTCATCTCACCAGGCCACATCTCTGCACTGGAAGGTTTTCTAGTTGCAAATTACTTTCATGGTTGTCGTCTCTGGTTGGCAAGGAGATGGCACTTGTTTCTTTGTATTCTGGCTTTTCATAGAATAAAATGTGGAAATAATATAAAGAAGGAATTTTTTTTTTTTTTTTTTAAATCTGTATTTTATAGACTCCCGAAGAACATGAATTGGAAACTGGAATCAAATCAAAAGAAGCTCGAAAGTACATTTTTAATTGTTTAGATGACATGGCGCAGGTGAGTAGAGTATCTTTCAGGCATTTACATATCTCTGTTCAGAGCCATACTTCTGTTGGTTATAGTGAAGGCTGAAATCTGTTATCTTTTAGTATATGTCTTCATTTTTCACAGAAAAAAATGCATTGATAGTTTGCCGTGTAATAAAATAACATTTGAATCCTAACAAAGGATACTTTTATATGTATTTTTCTTGCTTTTGTTAAACTGGTTTTACTACATGTCATCATTTCTAAAAAGATATTTTATTGATTTTTAGAGAGAGAGAAAGAGAATCATCGATGTGAGAGTGAAACATTGATCAGCTGCCTCCTGCATCTCCCCTCTCCCCCACCAGGTATTGAACCTAAAACCCGGGCATGTGCCCTGACTGGGAATCAAACTGGCAACCTTTCGGTGCCCCAATGACTGAGTGACACCAGTCAGGGCATTGTCAGTATTTTGATATATTGTTTGTGAAAGTTTCTTTCTTGTCCATTTTCTCTACTAAATAAATACAGGATGTCCCTAAGAAATGTATACATGCTTTGCATCATTGATAATTCCAATGGGTTAAATATGAAAAGAAAAATATCAACTGAGCTATCAGCTGTTAAAGTCTATATACATTTTTTTCTATGATTAATTGATATGTGCTGCTTCAATGCATATATTATATACAAAAAAGATAAAGGTCATTTGGATCGATTACACTTTTTGATAGAGTGTGTAGAGAAATTGATAGATAACAACATAGTGAAAACCCACCCAAAGACATCAACAAGCAGCTCTTCATCTAAACCATCACGCTTAGTTGAAAGGCATTTTCCAGAACAAATGAAAAGCGATATAGGAAAAACTAAATCCAGGAAATGCCAAGTTTGCTTCAAAAAAGGTGTTAGAAAGAATCTACATACTGGTGTCCGGATTGTAAGGTAGCACTATGTATCAACAATTGTTTTAAAATACTGTATATCACACTGAAGTTGAGTTTTAAATTTTTACATCTATATTTTAATTTTTAAACTCAATATTTCTATTTCATTTGTGTGCTTTTGTTTATTGTTCTGTAATTGTTAACTTTTTAATATTTTTTATTGTGTATAGAAATAAAAAAATATATTTTTTGTAATCTTGTAAAATTTATAATTTTTTAATTTGATGTTTCCATTTTTTTGTTGGTATTCTTTTCTATTTGTAATTTTGTATTTTCCTTTGTGCTTTATATATAAATAAACAAAAATATATATATTTCATTTATTTTAATTAAGTATAAATAAATATATATATTTAAATAATAATATAAATAATAATATAAAATTACGTCCACTGGGCGTGACGTACTGACACGTCCTAGTGAAAGAGTACGCGCCCGTTGTACGTTGCGTAATTAAAAAGGGAACTCTTCGGTGAACAGGTTAAGAGCTACCATTTATTGAGCATTATTATGTCCCAAACTCTAGTTAAACATCTTGTACTTATGTCGTTTAATTTTTTTTAACAATAGAAACTTATATTTAAGTAATCATAGTCCTTTTTTTGCTTAACTTGTTTGATTCAGATTTTGAATGAACAGAAAATTAGTTAGCTTTATTCTACCAACATACTCTACCAGATTGAAGATTTTATTTAGAAAAGAGTTTCCACCTGTGAAAGTGATTAGTCTAATAAAAATAATTTCCTCAAAAATGTTTGAGTACTTATATATAGTTTGGGGAGAAAGCAGATAATTGGTGGTAGCATTAAAGATTAAGTAACGAAGCATCATGTTTCTTAATTTTCCCGGGAAGGTGAACATGTCTACAGACTTAGAAGGAACAGACATGTTGGCAGAGAAGGCGGATCGCAGAGAATACATTGACCTGTTAAAAAAAATGCTAACAATTGATGCAGATAAGAGAATTACTCCTCTGAAAACGCTTAACCATCAGTTTGTAACCATGACTCACCTTCTGGATTTTCCACATAGCAGTCAGTGAGTATGGCGTGGTTTGGGGCATTTTACCATGATGTGCTCATCTGTTTGTGTTACCATCTAATAGGTAAATGGAAATATCACGTGAGCAGCAGCTTTGGGGCTTACATATTTGGCTCACTGATGCTTTTTCTTTCTCATTGAAAAATTAGCAATTAAAAATCAGATATGTATGTTTCCCTATGGTTATAAAAACTCTTATTCATTTGATCTGAAAATACTTGGGAGGACCGGCGGGAGGCGGGGAGAGGACGTTGATCCATATTCATCTTGAGTTATTTTCATCTGTTTAAATCTCAGCATTCGTTTCAATTAAACTTTCATCTCTCTTTTTTAGTGTTAAGTCTTGTTTTCAGAACATGGAGATCTGCAAGCGGAGGGTTCACATGTATGATACAGTGAGTCAGATCAAGAGTCCCTTCACGACGCACGTGGCCCCAAATACAAGCACAAACCTAACCATGAGCTTCAGCAACCAGCTTAATACAGTGCACAATCAGGTAAATGCTTTTGGAAACTCAGACTTAAGTGGGATGGAAACTGGTAAGAATGCAGGTTGAAATGAAGAAATCAGTCTTGGCTTCGGTGGTCTTATTGCTGCTTAAGAATTTTCTACCTGGCCAAGGGGATGCTAGCCAGGGTAGACTGATAATACTCACCAGTCATGTGCTGACAGAAGTTAAATCACTGTCAAATAAACTTAGCCTGGCTATTGTACTCCTTACTGCTGTTAGTCGTACTGACTTCAGCCAAATGACTCTGTGAGAAGGATTTTATATGTCTCGGTGCATGTATTGAAGGGTGTTTCCAGTAATTTTTTATATGCTGAGCTGGAGTCCCAGAACTTACTCGTCTATTCAGTGGAAGATTGTCCCATTGACCATCGTCACCCACTCTCCCCTTGCTGTCCCTGCTCTACCTGGCACCCACCAATCTACTTTCTGCCTCTATGAGTTCAGCTGGGTCCCTCCAATAATTAACTACAAGAGTGGTTTGCATATAAGTTTTCTGATTTCTTATCTAGGTCTATTTTTAAATGAGATTTGGTGGAATTCAGCAACATTTTGCATATAAAGGAGTGATAGGGGCTTATATAACCTCAACCAGTACAGGACCATTTTTTATGCTTTTTTTTTTTTTTTTATCCTCACGGGAGTATATATTTATTTTTATTTATTTATTTTTAAATATATTTTATTGATTTTTTTTACAGAGAGGAAGGGAGAGAGATAGAGAGCTAGAAACATCGATGAGAGAGAAACATCGACCAGCTGCCTCCTGCACACCCCCAACCGAGGATGTGCCCACAACCAATGTACATGCCCTTGACCGGAATCAAACCTGGGACCCTTCAGTCCGCAGACCGAGGCTCTACCACTGAGCCAAACCGGCTTTGGCAGGAGTATATATTTATTGATTTGAGAGAGAGAGGAAGGGGGAGAGAGAGAGAGAAAGAGACATCCATCAGTTGCCTCCCATCCACACCCCTCCCTACCAGGGATCAAGCCCAGAACCTAGGTACGTGCCGCCATGGCGAGTCCAACCTGAAGCCTTTTGGTGCATAGGATGGTGCTCCAATCAATTGAGCCCGTTTTTCTTCTCTGTGTTCACATTCAACCTTAAATGTAGAGACTGGGAACATTTTGTGAGCAGAGATTTTTTTGGAAGACAGCATTACATTTTAACACCTGAGGTTTTTCCAGATAGATTCCCTGTGTATGAAAATATTGCTCTCTTTGTACCAGTGTACAGCCCTAATCCTTCTGTTTTAGGCCGGTGTTCTAGCTTCCAGCTCCACGGCAGCAGCTGCTACTCTGTCTCTGGCTAACACGGACGTCTCCCTGCTGAACTACCAGTCGGCCCTGTACCCGTCGTCGGCAGCCCCGGTGCCTGGCGTGGCCCAGCAGGGCGTCTCCCTGCAGCCCGGGACCACGCAGATCTGCACGCAGACAGACCCCTTCCAGCAGACCTTCATAGTCTGTCCGCCCGCTTTCCAGAGTAAGTCCCTGCGGTCTATGTCAGCTTTCCTGCTTCAGGCACATCCTTGTTAGTTTTAACTCTCTCTGATTACGAAGTTAACTAAAATTAACCAAGTGGATTTACCCTTTTTTAAAATGTTTATCTAATTTGGTACTATCTGACACATGACAGGAGTCCAATTAATGTTTCCTTATTTGAATTGCCCCATTTCAGTTTTATTGCCCATTGAGGCCTAATATCAGTGTCATATTTTGTTACAAGCCTGTATCTCAATATGCAGAATCAATAATCTTGAAAAAATTTGTTGTAAACACAGTTGCTATATATTGAATCTTATTTCCTATATCATTCCATATAAAATAAAGTTATAGTGTGTTTTTTAGCCTCACCTGAGAATATTTTTTCCATTTTTTTTTTTTTAAGAGAGAGAGTGGAGGGTGAGGCAAGACGGGGGGGGGGGGGGGGGGGGAAGAGAGAGAAAGAGAGAGAGAGAAAGGGTGGGAGGGAGGGAGGAAGGAAGGGAGAGGGAGATTGGCTGCCTCCCACACCCGCCCAGACTGGGGCTGGGGATGAGCCTGCAACCGAGGCACATGCCCTTGACCAGGAATCGAACCTGGGACCCTTCTTTCCAAAGGCTGACACTCTAACCACTTAATCAAACCGGCCAGGACAAAAAGGTTAGTTTTTTTAAGGAGAAGGTCAGTGTGAGTACCCATGGGAATAAGCCAGGATTCAGGCTCCGCAGCCCTGTCCATAGAAGCAGGCTGTTATCTTTTCACTGCAGGTACTCACTGACTGTGACTTCTTTGTTTGTTTGGTTTCTGACAGAGTCGGAGCAAGCAGAAGGAAAAGGGGCGGGGGAGACTGAGAGACCCCCGAGAGGAGAGGAGAGCGATAGTGATGTAAACTGGGGACAGACCCCAGGGAAAGCGGAGGAGCAGACTCTCAACCCGTAAATGCAAACCTAGCCTCACTACCCAGTTCTTTCCTGCGTCTGCCTCACACGGAGCATTCTGTCCTCCGGGTGGTCACGGGCCGAGGGGTCCCGCTACTGAACTTAGCAAATAGCCACGCCCTGGCCCCTCCCCTTCTCCAGGTTGAGTTTCATTGGAACAGCTTTCCAATGTGGGACTCCCAGCTTTTTTGCTTCTTCTCAGATGATAGTTAAGAGATGAGGTACACATCCTTTTTCGTTCCTTAAACAAAACTAAATGTCCACTGCAGAGGCACAGGGCTAAAGCACTTTTGATATAATTAAGTAAGTATAAGTTCTGGAGAAGTTTTTTCTATTTAGGAAGTCTAAATCACCCGAGGAGTAGGGAGAGCACATTTTAAAATTTCCAAATGCAAGGGAGTTTTTAAATGAAGGACATGGTGACGATGAAAGCTGAAATGTATGACTATACGCCAGTTAGTATTCTCACAACAACCCCGGGAAGTGGGTACATCATGGCCAATTTATAGATGAGAAAGTTGATCATGATTCCCTCAGCTGCCCAATTTTTTCTAATAGTCCGTGGTAGAACCACAGTTTGAATCCAGGCGGTGGGGTTCATAGCTTATGTGTTTTGCAATATTATTCTATACAACCTCTCAGGATTTAAACTCACATAGCTGTAGAGACGTGGTTGATTTGCCAGCCACAGCCATGTGCTGGCTCCTGCCCGGCAGGTCTGTTTATTCCAGGCCGTCTGTTTGTCCTTCACCAGCTGCTCTTCAGCAGAATGCCCGTCCTCCGAGGAGAAATGGACCCTCAGGCATTAGACAGCTTGCTCTTCTTTCCAGACTGCCTCGGTTTTTATTTAAAGTGCTGTGTTCCACAGAAATAAAACACATTTTAATCCTTCTGAGTTCAGGGAAGACCTTCCAGAAATGTTGCCTTTTATGAACTTCTTCGTTTCCACTTGGGGTTTCCTGAAACTAGCTTCACTGCTGTGGCTTAGCCTAAGTGACCACGGCAATGGCAGTCACAGTTGTAGGTCAGTGCTGGAAGTACTGCTTTCTCTACTGCTCCAGTGGCCAGAATAGATGCACCTTTTGCTCAGTGGAAGCTTTTATTCTGCAGTTTTTGTCCCCTTTTACCTCATCATTCTGGGACCCATAGCTGAGCTTCTGTAGTGACCATTTCTTCCTGAGCTTTGCCTCCTTACTGTCTGCTAATTTGTAGGAGGCTATCACCATAACATTGTTTGGCCATCAGCCATGTGTCCTTTTAAAAAAATGATTAGAGTGTTTTAATTACGATTTTTGCTAGTTCCTCTTACTTTGTATGTTGTGACGATTTGTGACTAAATTAGTTGGAAATTACTGAAATGCAATCCAATGACAACTTGCTATAAGCAGCAGTATTAGAGTTTATGAGTTATGCTCATTGGCTACCTCCGTAATATTTTCTTATCTAATTAAAACTGAAGTTATAATTATATTTATGCTTTTTAATAGGTTACATTTTAAAAACACATTTTTCCCCCTAGTGGATTAAAAGTTGGGTGTGATTTACTAAGTGAAGGGTATTTTTTCTGCCTATACTGTTTGTTCATGAGAATGGGATGGTGGTTGTGCTTTTAAGTTTTGCAGGATAAAAAATATTTCAGAATTCCCTTAAATCAGCCCTCCGTGTATCAGACATCTTTTCATTAATCCCACCTGAGGGGGTCGGGGGGAGAGAGAACCATGTCTCCCTTTTCTTAATTTCCCAGACTTCAGTGAAACTGCTTTGTCTTAAGGGTCTAGAACTAAAACTTAAGTGACAGATTATTCGAACGGAAAAGCAAAAAACAACCCCCTCCTCCCCACTGGGTAAGCAAACCACAGCCCCAGACCTCGCAGGCAAAGCCGTTTAACTGATGCTGTCTTCTGCAGCTGGACTCCAGGCCACGACGAAGCATTCTGGGTTCCCTGTGAGGATGGATAACGCCGTGCCCATCGTCCCCCAGGCGCCGGCGGCCCAGCCGCTGCCCATCCCGTCGGGCGTGCTCACGCAGGTGAGGGCGGGGCCGCGGCACCCGTGTTGCCAAAGCACTGCTGAGAACCGGGTGTTTTGTCCCAGAAAACGGTGTTTGCTTTGAGTGTAAGATCTTTTCTGGCCGTGATTCAGTGGACTTAAAGAGAAACAGCTACGATGGAACAGTGTCCTCATCCCGCCCCGGCCAGCGTCTGCCTCAGGCCCGCAGGGCGCATGGCCAGACTCGGAGAAGTTGTCTTTTGAGTCAGTGTCCTCTCATTCTGGGAGATGAGACTAACTGCCCCTGCTCAGGTGGGCGCTTTTAGAGGTCAGGACGCGTGTAACCACAGTGTGATTCTGAAAAGGAAGGGCTCCCTTTTTGCTCCCTAGTGTCTGTCCTCTTGGGTCCCTCTTCTAGAATGTCACCACCGTTGAGAGAGAGGCTGGACATAGGAGACGCCTCTTCAGGCTTTATTCCCTGTGCCTCGCTGGCCTTCAGAGCTTGGAGTCTTTATACCTGCCCCGGAAAGGTCAAGAAAATCTTCGAGTATCCATACAAGCGACAACAGCATACATCCTTTCCATCTGTGTGTAAATGTTCACGGCCCGTGACACGGGCAGTTCTGAAATCCCGGCCCCCCAATTCGTGAATAGGACTTTCTAACACCCGCCTCTGGAACTGAGTTTTGTAGAACTGACCCTCTGAATCTGGCCCCAGAGGATGCCTATGCTTTTTTTGCTTTAGGCCATTGGCCTTTGACCCAGGGGGCCCCGCTGTGCAGAGCTGAAGGGGAAAGGTATGTTTGGCATGTGCGTTCCAGGCGATAGGACATGAATTACTGCTTATTGTTGGTAATAACGTGGCGGGGGGCGAGAGCCCTCCTGAATCCAGATGACCTGCCTCCGTGTTTGTTCACTCACCTGCCTCATCTACGTTTCAGGGAAGCTGTACTCCACTAATGGTAGCAACTCTCCACCCTCAAGTAGCCACCATCGCGCCGCAGTACGCGGTGCCCTTTACCCTGAGCTGCGCAGCCGGCCGGCCGGCGCTGGTTGAACAGACCGCCACTGTACTGGTAATTTCCTCACTTGTTACTAACGGAGTTTTGTTTTTTCCTTTGGTTTCTTTCTTTTTTTTCTTTTTCTTTTTTTCGTTTTTGTTCTGTTTTCTCATTTTCCAAAAACGTTTTCCACTTGGTCTTTGCAGAGGGCATGGAAGCATGTGCCGTCTTGTGGCTGTGTTCTTGCTGCATCTTTAATGTCTCATTGTTTTCCTCCCCAACGTTTGCTGAGATGCTGTGGACTGTGGGGTGCCTGTCAGGAGCCAGCCTAGTGGGGGGAAGAGCTCTTGGGTAGCTCAGAAGCGCCCAGCGCCCTCTGTCTTCTGCCCTTGACCTCTGCTCCTTGAGAAGGGAAGACATGGCCCTTCGTATGGCTCTGCCGCAGGCACCCAGGTGGCCAAAATCTGAACTGCTTGCGAGTTAGCATCCTTCTTTATTTGCTGTTGTAAGCTTCTAAAACTTCTGTGCTGTAGACATGTGTAAGATGCTCTCCGTTTATTGCTTCCTCTGTTGCTATTAACTCTCGTCCGTGGGCCATGAAGATAAGTCTTTTTGCCACTCCAGTCAGTGGCACCTTATATCTTCCATCGAAAGCTACTGCCTTAGAATCACTGCAGATTGTGTTTGTTGATTGAAATTAGAGGTGAACTCATTCTTAGGGGTTTATGGATAAATTATTTTACAAATAAGTCTTCATCCAAAGGTGAAACTATGGATCAAAATTTTATGCAGATACAAGATTTGTTCCTAAGAATTCCGAGGGAAGCTTATTAAATACAACTGAGAGGGGAAGAACATGCAAACAGGACTTTGAGGAGTATTTCAGGACCTGTAACTTTAAGAGCGATTTTTCAAAGTGTTGTTTGGGATTACTTATTGGATGTCCATCATTTTAATACTTTGAAATTGAAAAGCAGACAAGCACTTCAAACCTAGCTGACACCAGGGGTCCTGATACTTCTGCAGCCCCTCAGAGAGGCTGTCAAGCTCTCTTGTTGCTCAAGGACTCGTCTGAGTGAAAGCACTTCCAAAAACATTCTCTGGTTGTTGGAATTGGTTTGGTTTTCAGTTTACAAAGCCCTTTCTCGCCTCCAGATTAAGCATAACTCCGGAGTGTAAGGAAGCCAGATCTAGTTCCAACTGGACTGATCTGAGCCCCTGGTCTTGATCGCTCACGTCTAGTGCCGAGGTTGCGATGTCATTGACACTTCTCCTCTCCCGCTTCGCTTAAGCTTGCGCTGGCCGTTTGCTAAGCTTCGCATATTTTTGTTCTTCTTCTATCAATACAGTTTCGTCGCTTGGAACGCCCGATTTCTGCCTCGCGTTGGAATGTTATTTCTTGCTTTGTATTAAACTACATGCTTTGTCTTGTGCAGGTGTTGGCTTATGGAAAGACGCATGGTGTGACTTAACATACTTATTTATTTATTTTTGTTGTGTTTTAAATTCTGCTTCTGGTAGCAGACATGTTTGTCGTTTGTCTGCTTTGAAGGCTTCTTGTTTGGGACCGGCATTTGTAACAAGTGGATCTGTTCCTTGCAGAAATGTTTTCAAAACACTGTCTGATGGCCTTGCAGTTTGAAACGCAAGAAACAGAGCCATATGCACCTGAGCACCGTAGGCAATTGTACTGTAGACTTCAGGTCTAAAATGGAAACTTTCAAATCTGTTCGTATTTTTTTTTTTTTTAGAAAATGCCAGAATTTCTGTAAGAAGTATAGACGACATATCCATTCCTGTCTATTTCAAGTGACATGGCTTGTGAAAAATGAGAAAGGATATGTTTTCTTGTAGTGATTAGTTTTCTGTTGAAATATGTTTCTACAAATGATACATAAAACAATATGTTTTAGGTAACTATAAAAACAAAATACGGTGCTCTCTGCATCTGTTTCATAAATGTTTTACTTACGGCCTTACGTTAAAATCCTACTAAAGGGCCATAAATGACGGAGTCAGCTTTCTCTTGCTGACGCCAGCTCGATTGCCACAGGATTTTGGCCTTCGGTCATCCACATCTAGCTCCATTTCCAAGTGCTGCCTTTTTAAAAAGCAACACTTCTCCCCTTGGGTTTATGGGTTTGATGGATCTGATGTCTTATCTGATTGGCGCTCAAAATCTAAATTCCTATTTTGAACCTCAAGGGAGCTGTCTTAACACTTTCTAGGGACATTCTTTAAATCCCCGCACAAGTGGTGCTCCAGCCTGGACCAGAGTTGACCTCTGCACTTCCAGACTCCTTTGCTCTAGAGTCTCTCTCGGGGGCCTGGTCAGGTTAAGGAGGTGGCTGAGAGAAAGCAGCGTGTCCTCTTTCCCTAAACGTAAGACGCATACCCTCGAGCCCCTCTGATCTTTCTCTTTGAAAATCTGCAAGTTAATAATCTACAAGCGACTTCTTTTAAGATGTGAATTTTTCTTTCATCTAGTAACAAACATACACACACACAGAAAAAGCCAAGAGCGAGTCCAGTCTGGATCTCTCTGTGTTTCCTTGCAGCAGGCTTGGCCCGGAGGCACCCAGCAGATTCTCCTGCCCTCCACGTGGCAGCAGCTGCCCGGGGTGGCGCTGCACAACTCTGTCCAGCCTGCAGCCGTGATCCCGGAGGCCATGGGCGGGGGCCAGCAGCTCGCAGACTGGAGGCAAGTGCCCTGCGCTCCGCTCGGGGCCGTGTGCAAGGCAGTCCCCGGGGCCGGGGCAGCTGGCGATTGGGGGGGCTGGGGAGAGAAGAAAGGAGAGCTCATCTCTGTTTGAAATCCTTCAAAAAGAGAACTCATAGCAGGCGAGGAGATGGCATTGTAAGCAGATTTTGAATTCAGGAAAATAACCGGTGCTCAGGCAGGAATCACATGCTTCAGATTTTTTAAAAAATGTATATACTTTATTGATTTTTTAGAGAGGAAGAGAGAGGGATAGAGAGTTAGAAACATTGATGAGAGAATCATCGATCAGCTGCCTCCTGCACACCCCCTACTGGGGATGTGCCCGCAACCAAGGTACATGCCCTTGACCGGAATCCAACCCGGGGCCTTTCAGTCCTCAGGCCGACGCTCTATCCACTGAGCCAACCCGATTTCGGCTGTACTTCAGATTGAAAGGAAGTCTGAAGCAATTAGGAACCCTGCAGTGAGAACCTGCAGCCTGTGGTGCACGTGGTGCACGACCAGGAAGATGCGGCTCCTCTGGGTCGTTTGAATCGCTGCCGACAGCTCCGTGGCCCTGGCCTGCCAGCGCTTGGGGCACTCACGCTTCTCCCTCTCTTCCCGGGGCTGCAGGAGTGCCCACTCGCATGGCAGCCAGTACAGCACCGTCATGCCGCCGTCCTTGCTCACCAGCCACGTGACGCTGGCCACCGCGCAGCCCCTGAACGTTGGCGTCGCCCACGTCGTCCGACAGCAGCAGTCCAGCTCCCTGCCTTCGAAGAAGAACAAGCCGTCGGCTCCCAGCTCCTCCAAGTGAGTCTCGTTGGAGCGGGCAGCTCAGCGGGACCAGTGGGGGGCGGTGTTGCCCGCACGGAGCATGCGGTGTGTGGACACTTGGGAACGAGGGGCCGAGGAGGAGGGACCCTCTCCCCCGGGCGTGCGCACCAGGCGGTCCTGGCTGTGTGGTCCCTTCTCTCCGCTGCCACCTGGGCCCCCGGCCCTCTGTCGGCTGCAGTGTGACTTTCTTCTGCTCACTTTCCAGAGTGAAGGCTAACCTGGGGGAAACGCATATAAAAATAAGATTCATGTCGTATTTCGGTGTGCTTGGCCCTGGAAACCCTGGCTAGAGGGGCTGGTTTAATTTTTATTGGAAGTTTTATAGTTGGGTGTATTGGCTTCACGATTAGGTAGAAAGAGCACATTGGAGAGAGCTTTGGGGAAAAGATGTACAGTTTTGAGGCCCAGAACTGAACGGTCTTTCTTCTGACCTTGGCCGGCAGGTCTTCTCTGGATGTACCGCCTTCTCAAGTCTATTCCCTGGTGGGGAGCAGTCCCCTCCGCACCTCGTCTTCCTATAACTCCCTCGTCCCCGCCCAAGATCAGCATCAGCCAATCATCATTCCAGACACTCCCAGCCCTCCCGTGAGTGTCATCACCATCCGCAGCGACACCGACGAGGAGGAGGACAGCAAATACAAGCCCACTAGGTAAGGGGGGAACGGTGGCTGCTCCCGTGGCCGTAGGCTGCTGGCTTCGGGCGAGTGGAAATGGGAGTGGCTGAGGCAACACTTACCGTTGTCAGACGCATGCGCTCTGGAGTCATTCTGTCCTGGGTCTGAATGCTGACTCATCACTGTGCCCCTGGTCAAGTTTCTTCATTTTCCTATGCCTCAGTGTCCTCATCTTCAAAATAACAATGGTAGTAGCTATATACTTCGTAGAGGTGTTCCGAGTACTCAGTGAGATGTATGTAGAGTGTAAGAACAGTCCCTCAGAAGTTTGCTGCTGGTGTTATCATCACTATTGTCACTGTCGTTGTTGGCATCCTCCTCATCGTCACCCTGGAGGACGACCAGAGACCATCAAAGAAACATTGCCAGAAGGAGGTTGAATTCTCATGTATTTTCTTCTCCTCAGCTCTGGCCTGAAGGCACGGTCCAATGTCATCAGCTACGTCACTGTCAACGACTCTCCCGACTCTGACTCTTCCCTGAGCAGCCCGTATTCCACCGAGAACCTGAGCGCTCTCCGGGCCAATAGCGGGCCCCACGTGGAGGGGCAGGGCAGAGGCGTGGGCGACGGCCCTGGCACTCGCACCATCATTGTGCCTCCGCTGAAGACTCAGCTTGGTGACTGCACTGTAGCAACCCAGGCCTCGGGTGAGTGTCTCCAGCTGGAGCTGAAGTCTCCTTTGCTGTGTGTATCCTTAACATTTTGTTGTGCCGATGGCGGAGACTTCTTAAAGATTACTTAATTCAGAAACTAGCTCCTTGTGAAATTAGTTTTGGCCGTCAGTTTACCTTTGTGTTTATTTTGCTTGGATTAATATAAAAACGAATTCGTAGTCTCACAAATACACTCACTGTCGATTGGAGAAAGTTGACAAGACAGACGGTAAGTGGCAGGGAGAATTAGCAATGTTTTTGTTGTTTTGCTATAGATGATTTGCTTTTGACAATCCAGAAGTGGACAGGAACTGGTAATATTGGAAATGACTGCAGACGTGTTTTTGGAGAACAACATGAGCAACAGACCCTTTGTCTGCCGATGTCAGAGCGGCGGTCCTTCTGTGGCCTTTCTTACCAGCCTGACCCTCCATCCTTCTTGCTGTTGGATGCTGGGCGTAGGCTTCTTGGTTCAGTCGCTGGGTAATGCTCACTGCAGTACCAAGCCCCAGGGTTCCTGGCTCCACACACCTAGGTGTCCTCCCTCACGTGACCTCCCATACACGTTTCTGGTGAATGAAGGACCAGAGCTTGGCCTCCTCAGCATCCAGCCAGGAAGAAGAGCATCTGCTAACCTCGTTAGCCCTAGAAACAGTGAAAACTAGTCCCGTGGCTCACCCAGAGCGGGGGGCCGGGGTACGCAGCCCTTGGCCAGGCAGCTGTTTCCCGCGGAGGCTCACACCTGAGGGAGGGGCGCGGGCGGTGCTGGTGCCAGGGCAGCTCTCTGCGCCGTGCGTGGGGGCATTCGTGTTTTACAGCGAACTCTGTTGCTGCCTCTACTCTGTTGGATCGTGTGAGGTGCAGACAAGGCAGCCCTTCCCCATGCCAGGCCCCTGAGCGAGGAGCGCTGGCACGTTTGGGTGCCAGGAATGTAGGCTGCTCCACAGCCACCGGATGGCTGCTCCAGCCTCCCGCTGGGGAAGTGCTGGAAGTGGAACTTGCTTGTTCAGCTGCCCTGCAGTTTCTTAGAATTTGAAGACAGTGAGTGCCCCCAAGATAGAACTTTGCCTGCCTTTCAACCCTGTTAATACTCAACTGTCCTGACGATTACCAGTATCTTACTCAGCTTCTCGTCCATTCTGCTCTTGTTTACTCCCTTCCTACATAAAGCCAGGAAGAGACAGGGGCAGGAACTGTGCCTTGCTTGTATTTCAGTCAATACGTGGCACATCAGGAGGTTGGAGAATATCGAGGGGAGTGAACACGGTGAGGATCCTTCATGAGCTTTGGACAAGGCAGAAAGGAGAGGGAAATACAGTGTGTGTTCCGGAGTCCATGGCATCAGGACATAGGATTCACCTGACACCTTCACTCCGCAAGCCTCCCGCCAGCGTGGGCCGATGATGCTGTGCGAGGCCCTCTGAGGCTCCGCCCGTTATTGTAGCCACGCCTCCTGTCCCTAACGAAGGCCTGCCCTCTCCTAGGTCTCCTGAGCGCCAAGACCAAGCCCGTGGCCTCGGTGAGCGGGCAGTCCTCCGGATGCTGTATCACCCCCACCGGGTGCCGAGCGCAGCGCGGGGCCACCGGCACGGCACAGCCCCTCAACCTCAGCCAGGTAAGCGCCGGGGGCTGCTGGCTTCTGTGGGGACCCCCCCTGTTACTCTCTGGACAACCCACTTCTGGCTGGACCGCTGAATAAAGCCCAATGAAGCTCCTCTTGTGTCAAACAGTGTGGTGTTCTGTGGCCCGTGTCAGCTCCGCACGTGCTGTCTCTGCATCCGTGTGTAAGCGTGCGCAGGATGCACACCCAGGGTTTCCATCTGTCCTGGGAGACGAGAGAAATGTCTGGAATGCAGGAGAGCCTAAGCGCTCAGTCCGCGTCTGGTTCTGCAGCACCACGCGCTTTGAGACCAGATTCTCTTGCTTCATCTCTCGATCATAAATTACAAGAGCCTCACGCTTCTTATGGCAAGAGACAGGGAAAAGCTATCTGGCCATCTTATCACCGGTTCTAGTCCTACATGTGTGAGTCCGGGATTTGAGGCCTTTTCCTCCCATCCGATCCTCTGCTAGGGTACGGGGTCACTATGCCATCTGCAGTCACTCCTGCTCAGCTCCAATTCTGGTGCCTGCGTGACGTCTCCTAGTAGTGAGAAAGGGTACATATGAGAATATAACTGCGTGTGTGTGTGTGTGTGTGTGTGTGAACGCATGTGTGAGAGAGAGAGCACACACATGCAAGTGCAAATATAAATTTGAGTTAGTGCGTGTGTTTTGAGCTCCACAATTCTCGAGGGAGAGGAAGAACTTAGAACAAGAGAAAGCATGGCCAAGAAAGAAAAGTTAGGAAAAATGCAGACTCACTGACGCCAGACTAGGGTGAGCTGAGCCACCGGCCACTAACCTACAGGAGCGGGCAGCCCTCCGGACGCCTGGCCCGCTTCCTGTCATGCTTAAGGGCCAGGCGCCGCCTCTGGGCTGGGCTGGGACGTGCTGCCAGGAGGCAGGGCTGGACGGCTGGCAGCCCAGCGGCAGCGGAAGGTAGAAGCTCAGCTCCCAGCGTGGCCTTCGGCGCCCTGAGCCAGAGCGACTGCGCGATGCCTTACTCCCTTCTTCCTCCTTCCAGAACCAGCAGTCATGCGCTCCAACCTCGCAGGAGAGAAGCGGCAACCCTGCCCCCCGCAGACAGCAGGCGTTTGTGGCCCCGCTCTCCCAAGCCCCCTACACCTTCCAGCACGGCAGCCCGATACACTCGACGGGGCACCCACACCTGGCCCCCGCCCCTGCTCACTTGCCAAGCCAGCCTCACCTGTACACGTACGCTGCCCCCACCTCCGCCGCCGCACTGGGCTCCACCAGCTCCATCGCTCAGCTCTTCTCCCCCCAGGGCTCCTCCAGGCACGCCGCGGCCTACGCCACCCACCCCGGCACCCTGGTGCACCAGGGCCCTGTGAGCGTGGGGCCCAGCCTCCTCACCTCTGCCAGCGTGGCCCCTGCTCAGTACCAGCACCAGTTTGCCACCCAGTCCTACATTGGCTCGTCCCGGGGCTCAACAATTTACACTGGATACCCACTGAGTCCAACCAAGATCAGCCAGTACTCCTACTTGTAGGTGGTGAGCGTGAGGGAGGAGGGCCGTGGCCGCCCGCTCTGGCCCCCAGCTCTGCAGGACGGGCTGTGCTCAGCTCCTCCCCTGCTCTCCTGAAGCTCCGCAGCCAGCCCCTCGCTCTGTAGGGCCCGCTGACCTGACAGAAGGTTTTTCTCTGGCGACCCTGGCCCAGTGTTGACAGCGTTGTAGTCTCCCAAGTCCGCCTGTTTTTAATTCCTTATTTTTGCGCCAGCCGTCTGCTGCTTGGAAGAGTCGGACGCCCATCTTCCACAGTGACCATGGGGAGAGGTCATTCTGAAGTCACCCTCTGGAAAATATTTTCTCTCGGACTTTGTTTCTATACATGCTTTTAAAACAAGTGAAGCCCCTCTTTATTTAACGTTGTTTTATTGCAGTTGCTGGCCAGAGGGAAAATGCTAATAGAAGGACTTGGAGTTTGTTAGTGAGAAAAAAAAAAAAAAAAGAAATCATTGCTTTTTGCTTGTTGAAAACCAAGACCTAATTGCTGATTTTAAGAGTTGCTCTCACAAGTACCTGTTTTCCTATCAGGCACTTCTCCTCAGAATTTTACTGTGTCTGTGAGATATTTAAACCTACAGTGTTTTAGTTTTGTTTCCATGTCACATTGTACTTAACGGGCAGTTATTATTTCTGCATAACTGGTTGTGCACTGCTCTGGGTTACTGTTGGGAGTCTCTCAGAGCTGTGTTCAAAAGGCCGCTCACCGTGCGGTGACAGCCGAGAACCCATGCCTGCCATGAAGACACAACGCCCCAGGGGTTCTTGAACGGAGCACCGCGCATTATTTTGAAATTATTTTTTAAAATGTCCTCTGATTCAGCTCACATTGTATTATGGAAAAGCCATTGAGGTGGTTGCTATTGTGTGGTGGTGGTGGTTTTATTATATGCAAAAGCTCTTTGTAGTATGCGCTACTGGCATTGATGAGCTTCGCCTAAAGAGTAGTATTTTCAATAATCCACCTCTCCCTCTCCTCCCCTCACCTCTCCCTTCTGTTCTCTGTGATTGATTTGGGGAGAAAGCGAAAGAATCTGAGACCCGATGAGAACATTGTGTATAGCTTTTATACTTTAGACTAGCTTCCTTTGTATGCCAGCAGCAGACTGAATGCTCTCTTATTAAGACTTATACAATAAGTGCATGTAGGAATTGCAAAAAAAAATATTTTAAAAATTTATTACTGAATTTAAAAATATTTTAGAAGTTTTGTAATGGTGGTGTTTTAATATTTTGCATAATTAAATATGTACATATTGATTAGAAAAATATAATAAGCAATTTCTCCTGCTCTCCCAAGATGTTATTTGTAATCAGATGTGTAGTGATTACACTTGAATTGTGTATTTCGTGTGTACCTGATCCTCCAGTGTTACCCGGGAGATGGCATTGGTGTCTCCATTGTATTTAAACCAAAATGAACTGATCCTTGGGGGAATGTGTGTGAACTAACTGCCATTCTGTCAGAGCCTATCACTGTAGTGCTGAGAGCGCAGGGCGTAGCCTGCCGGAGAGGAGACCGTTGGGATTGTTTTTGCACAGGTGTGTCTGGTGAGGACTTGTTCCGTGTGTGTCTCTCCCTGCCCCCGCCCCCCGCCCCCCGCCCCATTGTAGTGCCTTATATGATGATGTAGTGGTTCTAGAGTTTACAGTGAGCTTGCCTTAGGATGGACCAGCAAGCCCCGGGGACCCTGAGCTGTCCGCTGGGTTCACCGGGACAGGATAGTGGCTGTGCCGTGGACACGCGTTTTCTGTTTCTCTGCCGACACGGGAACCTCCCAACAGCAGCTTTCCTCCCCTGCCCCCTGCCCCCTGCCCACGCCGGGCCCGGCCGCCTCTCGCAGAAGCACGTCCCCGCGTGGCTCCCGCTGTGTGGCCACCTGCTCCTGGGAGCAGTCAGCAAGCAGGTGAGAGGAGTCGGCCAGTATTTAGTATGCATTCGTGCTTTCCAAAAGGATGTGCAGTCACTTTGAGAATGAGACCCTCCACCCCCTTCCCCCATATTGTAGTCCTTCCTGCAGATAGCTGACATTCCTAGAAAAATATTTGCTTGTTGAAAAAAACATGTAACAGATGTGTTTATACCAAAGAGCCTGTTGTATCGCCCGCCGTGTCCCCATACTAGAATCCCGTGGTGCCGCTGGCGGCAGCGAAGAACATTAGGAAAGCACCAAAGCCACTGGGCTTTTGAGGTTCCTTTTTGCCAACTTGTATGTTCTCGGGGCCCTTCCAGCTGTGCCACTGCCCTTGTCCTCTCAGCTCCCACGTGGATCGGGGTCAGTGGAGGGTACTGAGGATGGCGATGTTCCTGCCCATGGGGATTCTGGGGAAGGAGGTAGCCCTAAGGCACAGAAGTGTGCCATCTGAATCGAACGTGACAGTGGAGGGGCACGTCTAGGACGTTCTTTGTGCAGATGGCGTAGGGAGGTGCAGGGTGGAGATGGGGATTTCATGGAGCCCGGGCAGCCAGCCCTGCTCGGGTCGAACACCGAGGAGCTGTCAGGTATTGGAGTTTCTTCTTTGTGAGGGAGTCTGGGCTTCCGGGAGGGGCGGTCAGGACAGCCTGCCGGGAGGGAAGGTGTTGGCGCTTTCTGTGTGTTTTCATTCTCTTGAGTTGTGTGCTCAGCACGCTGCTGGTCAGGATACCCAAGCAGTGAGTATCGCTTGTCACTAGTGCGTTAAGTGTTCTGGTCAAGTGTGTGGTCTCTGTGTCTCCTTCGTGCCAAGCCCATTCGGAGTTTCTTGCTTCGAAGGCAGAGCTAGTTTCTAATGGAAACTTTTTGTGTTCCTTTTCTTTACAAGGGATAGGAATTGTTGTTTTTGTAAGAAACAAGATGCAGGAAAAACCATCACAGGACACTCCGCTCCTGCCCCCAGTCCCGTAGGTAGACCGTTTCAAGATGCGGGAAAAGATGACGCCAAGATTTATACTGTTACCTTCATCACCTTACTAGCACTGTGCAGCTTTAGGGATTTTAGAGCTTTTCAGCCAGTCTATCAATTGGCATTTCAGATTCGCCAGGTAAAAACCCACCCGTGTCTGCTGGGTGTATACGTGCTCCGTGTGGCTTTCCATCCTGTCCCTGGGGCCCGAGCAGCTGGCGTGCATCCGAGTGGCCTGGCCTCTGACCAGGCTAAGGCTTTAGGCCCTCTCTGGAGTGCACTTCCGGCTTTTCTCCTTCCCGGTGAGAGCAGTGGGGAAGGAGTAGTTAAATGCAGCCACTCTAGGCTCATCAGGACACTGATCACTCTACTTAATAGCTCCCAGGGGTGATTGTGTGTTCAGTGCTCAGCTCCCAGCCCCAGGAGTGAGCACTCCACATCAGTCAGTCTGCCATCCGCCATCCTCCAGGAGGGGGGGTAAGCCTGAGGGCCAACAAGCCAGGCAAGCACATCCGGGGCTTTTTAGTCAGCATTATGCAAAAACCCAGTGGTTAGGGGGTTCCTTTTAAATTAGGAGATGAAGTTGCCTCCCAGTGACAGAAATGGCCCACGCCTGCTTCCTATTTTGATTTTGTTTTTAACTGATGGATGGTGCAGCATGTCTTCATGGTTGTTTGTTGCAAAACTTTATATAATGTGTGGTTTTGATTCCGCTTGAAGAATAATCTCACTACATGTAGCAGTACATTCTGTGTGCATTCTATGTAATGTTAGTATTTCTGCTTCGAACCTTTGATATTGCAGTGGAATTCCAACTTTATTCGGTGTATGTGATCTGCTAGCTATTGTGTGCGATTTAAACTTCAGTTGCTTCCTCTCTTTTCTGGTCGTGCTCTCCCCTGGACAATGAGAAGCAGTTTCTGAGAATTACTGAGCTATGTTTGTAATGCAGATGTACTTAGGAGTATGTAAAATAATCATTTTAACAGAATAAATAGATATTTAAAATTTAATACTAACTACGGGAAAAGGGTCCATTGTGTAAAACATAGTTTATCTTTGGATTCAATGTTTGTCTTTGGTTTTACAAAGTAGCTTGTATTTTCAGTATTTTCTACATAATATGGTAAAATGTAGAGCAATCGCCATGCATCAATAAAATGGGTAAATTTTCTGATTCATGTGGCTTTTTCACTTTTGTTAAAGGGAGTCACCAAATGCAACTTTGGATACCTAAATACACCTGAAAATCGGCAGACACATTATTTCATACAGACCTCCAAGCGGAAACCAGTGGCCCTTGGGAGGGGACTTTTCCCAAGAATGGAGTTGCAGGGCCCTCACTGGAGCTCTGGCCCTTGCAGAGAGGCAGAAACCTCTTGACACAGGCTAAGTAAACGTCGTTTCCCAGTGAGTCCCACAGACACTTAGCACAGCAGAGTGAAAACACCAGTAAGAATGACAGCCAGAGTGCTCCTTCCCCTCTGGGCAGCTGGGGGAAGCCGGGTCCTTGTAGAGAAGAAGCACCCGTCATCAGAGTCCCCTTCATCCTAAAGGGAGTAACATTCCCCCGGGTCAAGAACTAGAGGTTTGTCTGGGTTGATCCTGCAGGTCTCTGAATAAATGCTACATTCCGTAGACAACTCCTTTGGACACGGGCTTCAGGCCCAGTCAGCCCTCCAATGGCCATTCATCGATCCGGGCTCCTGAAGCCATAGGGGACCTAGAGAGGACACATATCCAGAAACACCCTTTTGGACCGTAACCAAGAGGAATAAATGACCAGTAGCCCCTCCCATACGTAGGGAAGTCATGATACGTTTATGTTGATTTAGACTGCATATACATGTTTTTCAGATTTCCCCCTGAATAAAGGAATGTAAAGTTCATGTGAACTTGCTGCACTCCCCCCAGTTTAGAGAATACTCCCTGAAGCATTCAGGCCAAGGAAAGCCGGCTACAAAGGCTCTGCTGTCAGCTAATCAAGAATTTACCGACTTCTCAATGACCTGTTTGTTTTATTTTCAAATTGTTTTTTATCCGTTATATCCTTGTCTTGTAGGCTAAATAAGAGAGAGGCTGGCATAGCCCCATAAGTGATTGGGTAGTCCGTGAGGAAATCGGCAATTTAATAATGAAAACACTTATAAATTCAGTCTGCTTGGTTTGCTGTGGAAAATTCCATAGGACGTTGAAGTCGAAACCTTGGTTTCCCTGTTAATCCTGAGACGGTACCTGGTGTTCAGCACTAGGTGGCGCCAATGAGCTATGAAGACCAGGCTACAGAGGATCACTGTAGCCCTCTTCCCCACCTCTTCCCCTCAAACCTCTCCTCCGGCTTCCAGCTTCCACTGACCAAGGCAGAAAACAACCCAGGCTGTTTCTTGTTTTGTTTTTTTGTTTGTTTGTTTGTTTTTGCTGGGAAAGATTAACAAAGGATGTATCTTATGTCAACGCTGGAGGCCTTCTGAAACATGGGGATAGAGTTTGCCTGAGTTTTCTCTGGGGCCCCCCAGCGCCCCCTTCTCCCGGGCGACTGCCCACAGGCTGTCCTCTCCCAGGGAGCCTGCAGCCCAGGCGCGAGGTGGTTAAGGCTTCTGGCTGCTCTGCAGTGGGGCCATCTGTGTTTGATCAGCCCGGCAGAAGGGAGGGGGCGGGGGCCACGAAGGCCTGAAGGCCTGAAAGCATTCCAGAGGAGTGAGAGAGACCCAGAGGTCCAGAAGGGAAGGCCCGCCCCACCCCGCCTCCCAGGCTCCCCCGCGGGCTCCAGGGCAGAGACGCGCGCACGGCTGCCTGTGCTCTGCTGCCCGGGCCCCTCTCCGCTGCCATGGGACCCCGCGCTCCCCTCCTCCTCCTGCTCCTCCTGTGGTGGTCGGGGCCCCTGGGAGGACAGCAGCAGCACCTGGTGGAGTACATGGAACGCCGGCTGGTCGCCCTCGAGGTGAGTGGCTCCTCTCCCGCCCAGCCTGGCAGGGTGGCACTTTGTCGTCCTCGGTGCACCCAGTGTGTCAGGCATCGAGGGGTGACAGACAGGGCTCTGTGAGAACTACAGGAAACCCCATCTTTCAGTAAGATCCTCGGGACGTAAGTCCTCTTCCCCACATGCACAGAGCGATTCCGACCTTTGCGTCTCACCCCTGGGATTAGGTAAGACTAGAGCAATGGTCAGCAAACGCGTTAGTCAGCAGAGCCAGATGTCAACAGGACGACGACTGAAATTCCTTTGGAGGGCCAACTTTTTTAAGCCTAAACTTCTTCTGATGCCACTTCTTCAACACAGACGCCCAGGCGCCGTGGCATTTTGTGGGAGAGCCACACTCAAGGGGCCAAAGATCCGCAAGTGGCTCGAGAGCCGCAGTTTGCTGACCACGGGTCTAGAGGGAAGAGGGCAAACTAGAGCTGGGACTGTGGGGACGCATCCCAGGACGAGCTGATGCTTCTGTTCAAGTTGGAAGTTCCCAGAGAACGCTCCCTTTTCCCACGTTGAAGGCTAATCCCAGGAGAATTGTGTCCTGGGGCAGAGCGCCGCCCCCCCCCCCCCCCCCCCCCCCCCCCCCCGCACTGAGCCGGCCTGGAGGCGGGTGGCCAGGGCCCGGCTGGCAGGGAAGCAGGCGGGAGGGGGTGCTGGGTGGCCGGGGCCGGGGTGAGCTGAGCCAGGCTTCCTGCACAGCCAGCGTCTCTGAGCATCTGGTTTCCTTTCGGTGGAGGTTGCTGACGGCTGAGTGTGCTTTTCCCCATTTCTGACTCCCCGCCTGGGCCTCTCCCTGCCCGGGAGTCTAACCCTGCAGCCTTTCCTCCTCCCGCCAAACCCCTCAGGAACGGCTGGCCCAGTGCCAGGACCAGAGCAGCCGGCATGCGGCCGAGCTGCGGGACTTCAAGAACAAGATGCTGCCGCTGCTCGAGGTGGCCGAGAAGGAGCGGGAGGCGCTGCGGACCGAGGCGGACACCATGGCGGGGAGGGTGGACCGCCTGGAGCGGGAGGTGGACTACCTGGAGACCCAGAACCCGGCTCTGCCCTGTGAGGAGGTGAACGAGGGGGAGCCCGGAGGCTCGGGGGCCAAAGGCAAGGGCAGAAGAAACGAGAAGTACGACATGGTGACAGGTGAGCGGCCTGGGGGCAGACCCCTGGCCCGGAGGCCTGTGTCCTGGCCCTCGGCCCGCACGGAGGAGCCCACGCCTGCCCGGGGAACGCCGAGCTGCCCCCGCGGTCCCCTTCCCCTCCCGGCCCCATCCGTGTGGGCCGTATTCTCTGGAATCTGTTTTCGGGCGACTCTGTAATGACGGGCCCACCAGGGAGGGTTCCTGGGGACCCTTTCCCCCAGTCCCCACAGCAGTGGAGGCATCCACTGGGCCAGAGGTGGGCAAACTCGTTAGTCCTCAGAGCCAAATGTCAACAGCACAACGATTGAAATCTCTTTGGAGGGCCACATTTTTTAAACCTAAACTTCTTCTAACGCCACTTCTTCAACGTAAACTCACCCAAACCGTGCTTCTTTGTGGAAGACCCACATTCAAGGGGCCAAAGAGCCGCATGTGGCTCTGGAGCCGCAGTCTGCCGACCTCGGTTCTCCCGTGGCCCGCCCTGGGCGCTAACTCTCACCTCCCCCCCCCCACCCCCCCCCCGCAGACTGCGGCTACACCATCTCGCAGGTGCGGTCCATGAAGATCCTGAAGCGCTTCGGGGGCACCGCCGGCCTCTGGACCAAGGACCCGCTGGGCCCCGCGGAGAGGATCTACGTGCTGGACGGGACCCAGAACGACACGGCCTTCGTGTTCCCGCGGCTGCGGGACTTCACCCTGGCCATGGCCGCCCGGAAGGCTTCCCGCGTCCGCGTCCCCTTCCCCTGGGTGGGCACGGGCCAGCTGGTGTACGGCGGCTTCCTCTACTACGCCCGGCGGCCGCCCGGGGGGCCCGGCGGGGGCCGGGAGCCGGAGGACACCCTGCAGCTCATCAAGTTCCACCTGGCCAACCGCACGGTGGTGGACAGCTCCGTGTTCCCCGCCGAGGGCCTCATCCCCCCCTACGGGCTCACGGCCGACACCCTCATCGACCTGGCGGCCGACGAGGAGGGCCTGTGGGCCGTCTACGCCACCCGCGAGGACGACAGGCACCTGTGTCTGGCCAAGCTGGACCCCCAGACGCTGGACACGGAGCAGCAGTGGGACACGCCGTGCCCCAGGGCGAACGCCGAGGCCGCCTTCGTCATCTGCGGGACCCTGCACGTTGTGTACAACACCCGCCCCGCCAGCCGGGCCCGCATCCAGTGCTCCTTCGACGCCAGCGGCACCCTGAGCCCCGAGCGGGCCCCGCTCCCTTACTTCCCCCGCCGCTACGGGGCCCACGCCAGCCTCCGCTACAACCCCCGGGAGCGCCAGCTCTACGCCTGGGACGACGGCTACCAGCTGGTCTACAAGCTGGAGATGAGGAAGAAGGAGGAGGAGGTCTGAGGAGGGGCCTCGGGTTAGGGATCTCTCCCGTCTCCATCTGTGTCCAGCCCCGCCGCGTTTCCCGCTCCTCGTTCTCCGACCGACCGACCGACCGAGGGCAAGCTGTGGTTCCAGCCTCGTCTCTTAGCCGGCGGAGGCCTGCGTTCCCTGCGGGACTCTGGACCGTGGGTGCCCTCCTTCCTCCCGGCCCATGTCCGCACGTTCCAGGCCTAAGGCGGCCCAGAGCTCTGGCCCCGGGCGGGGCCGCCCCCGGGAGAGGCAGCGGAGGATGTGTTGCCTCCGTGGGCGTTGGAGGAGAGGGGACTTTCAACGCCGCCCTCTCTGGCATCACTGCCCTCGAGAGAGGGCCCCTCTCCACCTCGTTGTGTAGCGACGCGTTCTGCATTAAAGGGAAAACCCGCCGCTCCGCGCCTGTGTCTGTCTGGGAGCCCTCGGATCGTACTGCGCCCCATGACCCTCTCTCTCCGCTCCGCCCCGGCCCCGCTCCCTAAGCCGCATCGGGACTTGGCGGGGCTCCCTGGCCGAGGGAGAGGCCCTTCTCCGGTTACAGATTTTACTGAGGCGCCGGGGGAGCAGAGGGTCCCGCCACTTCGGGAGGCTGGCAAGGGCCTCCACACCCGCCGCCTCCTCACCGCCCGCCCGCAGCCTCCGCCCCGGCCAGAGGCCCGCAGACTGCCCAGGGGCGCGGCCCACTCCCGTTCTCAGAGGTGTTGGACCGGAAAGTGGGCTGTAGCTGCATGGAAGGCTCCTGTGTGTGTGTGTGTGTGTGTGTGTGTGTGTGTGTGTGAGAGAGAGAGAGAGAGAGAGAGAGAGAGAGAGTGTGTGTGTGTGTGTGTGTGAGAGTGTGTGTGTGTGTGAGTGTGTGTGAGTGAGAGAGAGAGAGAGAGAGAGAGAGAGAGAGAGTGTGTGTGTGTGTGTGTGAGAGAGAGAGTGTGTGTGTGTGAGTGTGTGTGAGTGAGTGTGAGTGAGTGTGTGTGAGTGTGTGAGTGTGTGAGTGTGTAAGCCGAGCACATGTGTTTTCAGTAAGAACTTGAAGCCCTGCCGGCTCGGCGGCGGGCTGGCCCCGGGGTTGCACAATCGGACTTGGTCCGCGTCTCCCTGGTTTTCCTGCTGCCGCGGCGGCTGCGGTTTGGGGGGGCGGTGGCCATGTCTCCGGTTTGGGGGGGCGGTGGCCATGTCTCCGGTGAGGCCTCCAGCTTCCCCATCCCTCCCCTCCGTCCCCGCCCCCGCCCGCCCGCCCGGCGGGAGCCTGGCCACGGCGCCTCTGGGTGGCCCGGCCTCTGGCTCGCAAAGGCCGGATTCCACGTGGGGACAGGGAGGGGGGGACCCGGGAATCTGCTGAGCTTGGGCCGCCCGCTCCCTCCCTGCGCCCCGGACAGCACGGGGGCGGGCAGGGCGGCGGGCCAGACCCTGCGGCTGTGGGGCCGCGGCCGGCCCGTGGTGACCTACCCGAGGGAGAGGGAAGAGGAAGGTGGCCCGTCTTCCCGTCCCCTCGTGGGTGGGTCAGCCAGGGCCCCACGAGCCCCTCTGCCTTCTCTCCGGAGGCCGCGCCCCGTGTGGGTTGATGAGGAAGATGAGGGGGGGGGGCAGAGGCGATGGGCTCACCCATCCGTTCTCTCCTAACGGGGGGGGGGGGTCGGGGGGGGGCAGCGGTCGTCACGCCATCAGCCCACGGAGCGGTCTGCCCACCGCCGTTGGGCTCCGGCGCGGGCGCAGCAGGAGGGGGAGGCCTGGACCCGCGAGCGGCCACGCCCCTCTGCGACTGTGCGCATGCTCGCCTCTGCGCGCGCACGTGTGCGCATGCGTGAGCGCAGCTGGCGGGAATCCCCTCCGCGTGCCGCGTGGCTGGGAGCTGCCGGAAGGTGGCGCTGTCAGGGGCGGCCCCGGACCTCGCACGGGCGGGGTGTTGGACGCTGGGACCGCGGAGAGAGGGGTCTGGCCCGGGGAGTACAAACCCGGTGTCGTCCCCGCCGCCCACGGTGCCCGCCCGGCTCCCGGCGTCGTCGTCCTTGGCCCGACTCCTCCCTGAGGAGAGTGGCTACTTTCCGGCCTTAACATTTCTTTGGGCCGAAACCGGTGTGGCCCAGTGGGCAGAGCATCCATCTGCGCGGACTGAAGGGTCCCGGGTTCGATCCCGGTCAGGGGCCTGTGCCTTGGTTGCGGGCACATCTCCGGTGCGGGGCGTGCAGGAGGCGGCTGGTCGATGACTCTCTCTCATCGATGTTTCTAGCTCTCTCTCCCTCTCCTTCCTCTCCGTGAAGAAGAAGAAAAATCCTTTAGGAAAGTTCCCTCGGACTTTCCTGGAAGGGCAGACCTCTCTGGGGCCTTGTCATTCACTTCTTTCCGCTCTTTTTCCTCTTCTTTCCTTTCTGGCTCCGGCACAGAAGCTGGTGCCGTTCGGAAGCCGGGGCAGGTGCGGGCCGGTCCAGAGCCATCCCGTTGGCGCCGCGGCTCCGGGGCCGGTGGCTGAGTCCCTCGCCCACAGCCAGCCTCGGCCTGCTCGGACCCACAGCCCTCCCTGGCAGCAACGGCCGGAACCGGGACCGGAGGGGTGCAGGGAGGCCGGCCCCTGTGTGGGTGAGCAAGAGGCAGCGGGGCCCTGATGGGGAGCAGGGGCTGAGACCCCAAAGAGAAGGCAGCCCCTCGCCTGGCCCCGGACGGTCAGGCGGGGCCGGGATGGGGGCCCGGGGCCGGGCCAGGGGCCAGCCTTCCCGGGGGGCGGCCGGATGGGGCTCCCCATCAGCAGGCAGGGCTCAGAGGGCTCCCTGCCCCGACTCTGGCCCCGCGTTTCCTGCCCGACGGGATGCTCTCCCTCTCCTCCTCCTCAGGACCCCCCTCCCGGCGCCGGCCTTGGTGCGTCCCTGCCGAGAAACCGAAGTGCCATCTTATCCCTGTCATCCCGGACCCAGCCTGCATGGGGAGGGAGGCAGAGACGTGGGGAGTGGGTTGTTCACTCAGCTGTCAGGGCTCCTCCGGGGCGGGTGCTGAGCTAAAGGGAAGCCAGAGCCCTTGCCTTCTTCCTCCTCCTCCTCCTCCTCCTCCTCCTCCTCCTCCTCCTCTTTCTCCTCCTCCTCCTCCTCCTCCTCCTCCTCCTCCTCCTCCTCCTCCTCCTCTTCCTCTCTTTACACAGCTGCTGGGAGCACCCCTCTGCTGCCCATTCCTCTACCCAGTTTAGGGCAGAGCATGCTCAGTGTGAGAGCTGCTAGACTCTCCTGGGTGTCTCCCCAGCCTTCAGGACAGCTCCCTTAAAAAATTATTTTCATTTTTATTGATTTTAGCGAGAAGAAGGGAGAGGGATGGAGAAACAGACACATCAATGAGAAACATCGATTGGCTGCCTCCTACGCACTTCACACTGGGGATTGAGCCCAAACCCGGGCATGTGCCCTGAGCAGGAATCGAACCGTGACCTCCTGGTTCGCCAGGTGGTGCTCCACCGCTGAGCCACACTGGCCGGGCAGGATGGTTCTCTGCAGGGCCAGTGCGCAGGCTCTGTGGCTGTCTGGGCAGTGTGGTCTCTGGTCCCTCCGCCCTCCGCCCCAGCAGCAGCCACAGCCTCTCCTGCCACCCGGCACCGGGGCTGCAAGCTCTGCTCCGCCTGCTCCTTTCAACCCCCGCTCTCACCATGCAGAGCTTAAAAGATTAAATCTTTATTTATGGATTTAATAATGCCACCGAAGAATTATACGAAAGGGCAGAGTGAGAGCAGAAACGACGCTGTCTCAGCATGGCCCCTCCGGAGCCCGGTTCTGAGCGCACTCCCTGGCCGTGCGGTCCTGGGCGGATCAGTTCCCGGGCTTCAGAGAGCGTGACCATCCCCGGAGGCCTGCGAGTGGACCGGCCGGCGTTTATAAACCAACTGGCACTCGATACATGCCCATCGCCAGGCCGCAGCTCTCCATGCCCTCTACCGGACACTCTGCCGGCGGCCACGTCTGGTGTTACAGACCCTCTGCCCGGATCCAGGGGCTTCAGCCCCCTTTTCTCCATGTGCACAGTGTCCGGGGGGAAACACGGTGCCTGGACCCCCGTAGGTCTCTCCATCAGCTGTTACAGCCGCCACATGTGGACGTGTCTGCCCCTGCTCAGTGCCTGAGGCAACCCCACCAGCAGTGTGTGTGTGTGTGTGTGTGTGTGTGTGTGTGTGTGTGTGTATGTGTTGGCTTTTATTTTTTCCCTTCCTTCCTTCCTTTCTTTTTTAACATAGTGCTCCCCAGCTGCCTTTCTCCTCAAGCACATTTTCTCTGAAGCGATTTCAGTTGCTCAGGATGTGCCCTTGTAGCCCTCACTGTTGACTTTTTGGACTTATTCGCTGTTGATTCTGACAGATCCTTCAAGGCCGCCTTGGTTGCACTTGGTCTTGGAGATATTTATTGCCGTCCGATCACACAAGGTCTCCGTTCTGTGGCTGGTGGATGTCTGTTCCAGACCCGTAAATCCGGGCAGTTGGCAGGCGCCCGCTGTTCTCCATCCATTCTGATCGTGCCGTTGGAGGGAGGAGAGAGGGTGGGGGGTCCAGGGTGGGAGTGAGAAGACCTCTCTGTTTCGGTGGCTGAGAGCCTGGCTCCGCTTCTTCTGAGCTGGGTGGCCTGGAGCCAGATGCCAACCCCTCCGAGCCTCAGTTTGCTCCTTTGCAAAACAGTTGTGTCACCCGGGTTATCACTCACAGGACTGTGGAGGTTCACGCCCTAATGCCGAAAGCTCTTGGTGTCCTCCGGGAAGGACTCTCAGGAGTCATTCCTTCCGGGAAGAAACGGGAGTCCAGAGAGCCTTTGAGGGCAAGGCCCGTGCCTCTGTCTCCCGTCCCCAGACCCAGAGACCCAGAGTGCACATGGGGTGTCCGGTAGGTGCCTTGCCAATGAGTCGAGTGGCCAGCTCGTAGTGACACACCTGTGCTTTAACCTCTCTTGATGCCTCAGAATTATCAACATCCATTACTACGCCTGCTGCTCTGCGATGATGCCTGCAGGGCCCGTGGAGCATGGCCATCATGCTTGTCT